TATAATAGTGTTGACCATAATACAATAGCGAATGTACATAATATAATAGTGTTGACCATAATACAATAGCGAATGTACATAATATAATAGTGTTTGACCATAATCAATAGCGAATGTACATAATATAATAGTGTTTGACCATAATACAATAGCGAATGTACATAATATAATAGTGTTTGACCATAATACAATAGCGAATGTACATAATATAATAGTGTTTGACCATAATACAATAGCGAATGTACATAATATAATAGTGTTTGACCATAATACAATAGCGAATGTACATAATATAATAGTGTTTGAATATAAACTAATAATAAAGCTATTACATAGCATATCACCTGTAGACTTAAGACCCCTGTGGCTTGCCATATTCGTTAGATGTTTCGAGTATGGCTATGCACAGACGTGATATTACCCAAAACCTCTGTTTTTTTTGGGGGGGGGGGGATTTTGAATCACATATTTTTTAGGTATATTTTTTTTTACCAATGGGTGCGTTGTTCACTAAAAAAAGTTTACTAAAAAAATAACTAGGAATTATAAGAAAAAAATGACATCACAATAAAAAAAAATCTAAAGAAATCTGTGTGGGTGACTAATAACTACAAAATAGTGATAATCGAAATCAAACATAATATTAAAGCGGGGGGGTCGTCCCCCTGCGCATGCGTCAGATGGTCATGGCGTGTCATTGTTTACAAACAAGCGTCTACCCATAAGCCTTTGTGTTATTAGCGTGTGTTGTTATTGTCGCTTGGGACTCAATTCCCGCGCGTGCGCAGGTGACGACCCTCCCGCTTTAAGAAAACAAATCTATTATGAAAAAATCATGAGTTGACTTCAATGACCTCTTGCAAGCTGGCTTAACTCGAGCAGAACCTGCTAGTATTAAAGCCAGGAGCTTTAACTTGATATTTTGGTGTATGTATGTGTATTTCATTTCAAGTACGAAATCTAATGATTAACATTCTTACAATACATAACCTGGCCTTTAGTTTTAGCCCTGATTAGAGGTGATTAGTCCACAAGGTGAGTACAGACTGAGTCAGCATGAAAGAAAGATAGGTAGGTTAGATTTCGTTGCACCTTCTGCCTGATGCCACATCCATGACGAGAACCGCGTATTTCCTGGCCAACCAGCAAGTGATGCTGCATAATGTGGTACGTAAAAAGACTGCCGAAAAGACGTCAGCATAAAAGAAAAAGACAAAGGTCTGGGTGGTGCATTAGCATACAACTAGCTTAGCCCCCTTGTAAGTGATTTAATAAAAACTAAAATGTGTGCCTCACCGTCCCATTTTTTTAAAAAACAATTTTACAAGAAATATTTTGCGAGGTTTTATCAATACTTACTATAAGACTATATCTACAAGTAAACACACACCTCATTTAGGAAATCTCGACCCTAGCATCAATAACATCATGTTCATGTTCAAACTAAACACTGGAAAAATATTGAAGAGATCATAAATAATTATTGTTCTACAATACATAATGACACACTTATTGAAATACGCCATATAAATGCTAGCATTTGCTTGTAGTGTTCATTGCAGTCCGAGTAAATCCTAGACGAAGAAAGCCTTGCAATTTCAAAGAATGGTCCATACTTAATCGTGCAAATTCAACGTCGTCGTTTAATTGCAGTTCACCGTGATAGTTTAGATGTTTCCACATGGAAGCATTGACACTTATAACCCATAACGTAATTTCAGCTAAATTCAAGCGACAGTCAATCATAATATGTTTTCTCGAAGAATTTGTGCAAATTAAAATATTATAAATTTTGATATTATTTGAACGGAACATAATATTTTAGTTATGTTAAAATACTATATTATATTCGTTTAAGAAAATAATAAAATGCGCATGTGCTTTGACTTATTGGAAACATTCCGAAAGGTGCGTTTTCCATCACTCATGTCAACATAAGATCGCTTACTAAAAACTTTGATGAATTAAAATTATTTTATGATACAATTCCCTTCAAATTTAAAGTCATTGCACTTTCTGAAATATGGCAAGTCAAAAATAAAGATATGTTCAATCTATATAATTACTCATTAGAAACAAAAGGCAGAACAAATCAAAGGGGTGGTGGAATAGGGGCCTATATCCACACCTCTTTAAATTATAATTTGATTGATGTCGAGGTAAAACACGCTGAAACATTGTGGGTAAATGTTAATGTTGGTAGGAATAAGTCGCTGGTAATTGTCATAATCTACAGAAAACCAAACACAAATGTTGTTGAGTTTTTAGACATAATTTACCAATTAATTCCGAATGTGTCTTAGTTGGTGATTTGAATATAAATTTAAACAATTTAGACTCTAGTCATGTTAGAAAACTTTGTCACATATTATCATGCTACAACTTTAAACAAATTATTAATGTACCCACA